CCTCCTACAGAGTGCTCATTTTTCCTTACTTATCTTCTTCTGGATTTTAGTGTATTCATTTTAAAGGATTGCAAAGGAAACCCAAACCCTCCCCATGAATTCACCATAAAAGTCATAGACTTTGTTTCAATAGAAAATGTGTTTTTCCAGCAGATTTTCATCTGGTTCACAAATTTAAAAAGACTTGCTCTGCATAATTGTCTTTGGGTGGGCTGGTCACATTCAGGGATTTCACAAATGAAAGAAGGATGCTATTTCTGCTCTGAAATAATTTATGTTTCAAAGTTGCATCAGCTATGCTTAAATTAATGAGAAAATGAATGTTTTAGTGTCATTGGTGTCTATAGCTTCCTTCTTGCTCTAAACTAATAATGCTTCTAGATTTTGTAACAAAATTCATCTGCAAAGCAGATGCTTTGTTGTAGAATGGGGAGAGATTCTAAAGTCATTAAGGGCTGATAGCACAGAAAAATGGCAGTTGACTGGCATTTGCAAATTGAATTAATCCCCTTCATAAGGACCAGACAGATTTGGGCATTTATAGATTTTACCATTACATTATGCCATTCTGTATTCCTAGATCAACAGTTAATTTAACAACGTACCTTCTCCCCAAAACCCCTCTTCTCTCAAGAAAAAAATAACTTCACTAATGAATTTCCCATTTTTTTTCCAGGAATATTTTGGGGAAATAAACAACAGAACAGTTTGTGGGTCTTGAAGTTTCCAAAGACTTTTAGAAGCTGCTAGTTAATACTGGGATGTCACCTTTCAGTGATCTGTATCAGAGATCATTAACAAAATGTGATAATGCTGATGATTCAAGGAATGCTCAGATTTGTGATGTGGGCAGTTGCACTTGAAATCAATGCACCAGTCTTCCCCGGACAATCACACACATATGGTGCATCTGAGCTGGTGGTAAGAGTTTGAATCCACGCATTAGCCTAGGGTTAATCAAAGACAAAAACTGCTTTTCTTGCCCTTAAATCTTTCCCTCAGGCTGCTCCTGAGCAAAGTCTGAGAATCCCAAGGGCTGAGGCAGCCAGCTGGGGTAGGGAATCCATTTAGCATATGTACCACAGGGACTCTGCAAAGAAGTACAGCTTATAATTCCCAAAGTGAGGGCCCAAGAGAGAAAGGAGAACTAAATAGATCTCACTTGAAGTGCATTCTAACCAATCATAGCTACCTTGGGAAGAAGCCAGCTCAAAATGTTCCTGGGAGCTACTGGAGTTGAGAGTTCAGAGATTACCCCCTGAGAGTACAGCAAACATAAAGGTAAGGTAAAATTTGGGTGACATGCTCTTCCCATGGCCAAGGTCATTGCCCAAATAGGCAATTGAATGGAGACAATTTTAAGAATATGGTCTATGTGTAAATGGGAGATTTATAGTTTAACCTTTAAAAAAAATTGTTCCCAGTGGTGACCATCTCAGGAGCCAGGCTGAGAGTTGCCAAGCAACAAGAGAACAAAGGCAAGTTCCAAGAAGTTCATTAAAATCCACAGCTGTAGAGCTTTACTCTAACGTTCTCCACCCTGGTGGGAAAGACACTCAGGCAGACTTGATACTTCCTGTCTGTTTCTACCCTCCACCCTTCCTCCTTTGAGCTCCCAAACCACACTGTCAACTTCAGCAGGAAATATATTTTGTCTTATACCATAGCTTTTGTTAAATCTATATGTTTCCCAGTTATATCACTGACTGTTGTAAGGCAGGAATCATGTCTTATTTATCTTCATACTACTAGCTTAATGCCTAAAACAACTCCTATGCATAGTAGTTGTTAATAAATTGAATGTTAACTGCATGGTAACAATCTCTGCCTATTGAAGTTTCAGCTTTTCTTTAAGGCCAATTTCAAATGCTCCATCTTTTCAGAAGCCTTTTCTTATCTCTGATGTGCTATCACTTATCTCCAAATTCTGCAGCATCTTTTGTACCTCTTTTGTGAAACTTACTTTGCCTTGTATTACAGACATTCTAGTTTGGCCTCAACCGTGTGCTGTCAGGATAAGAATCAGGCCTTACTTGGCTCTATATTCTTGGATACAAAGGCTTGCACGGAGTCTTGCTTATTCATTTATTCATAAAACTGAGCATCAACTATGTGGATTCTGTAGGACTGGGGATAGAAAGTGAATTAAATAAACATGGCTTTTATTCTCATAGAACTTAAAATCTTAAGGGAATTTGGACACATAAATAGGAAACTAAAACTCAGTGCTTTGATGAGAAGGCATAAAGATCATGGGGTCACTTGATCTAATTCAGAGGATCAGAGAAAACTTCCATGAAGAAGTGATACTCACACAAAGTCCTGAAGAATGAAAAACAATGCACATGCAAAGGCCAGGGACTGGTACATTTAAGGAACTGAAAGCTCAGAAGTTCTAACAGGCTCAAGTGAAGAAGGCTTTACATTTATATCACACCTTTCCCTCTAGAAAACTGAAGTCTAGAGTAACAAGACATAAAAAAGGGAAATCCAAATTCACATGATGGCTAAACTAGCAAGAGCCTCACATATTCTGTTTTCCAGATCCAGTTCTCTTTCCACAAATATTTCTATTTCTGTTTCTTTCAAGGTCAAGATCCTTTTTCCTCATCTAAGTCATGAAAACTTTTAATGCAGGAAATAAATACATACAAGCATTTGATGTAGTTTATTTTTCCCTAAGTCATTCATGTATTTCTATGCTGTGGTAAAACAGTGTTGCCTCTGGTAGTTTATCCTAAAGAAAAAGAAAAACAGAAGCCCAAGTATGGTGGCTGGAACTCTGCTGCAATAAGCTGTTCCTCTACATGTGGGGAATAATCTCACAGTCTATGAGCACATACCCCTGAATGTGATTGGGCAAAGCTGGTTTTTGGATGGAAATCAGCATTTAGAAAGCTTTTGCTTTACTTATCTACAGAGCTTCAGTGAGGAAGGAGGAAATGAGACTGTAAATATGGTGACCATATAATTTATTATCCGGAATAGAACAATTTGAGAATGAAAAACAAGACTCTTAATAATTATGCCTGATGGGGATAGCGTTGAATCTGTAAATTACTTTGGGCAGTGTGGCCATTTTCACGATATTGATTCTTCCTAACCACGAACATGGAATGTTCCTCCATCTGTTTGTGTCCTCTCTTATTTCGTTGAACAGCGGCTTGTAGTTCTCCTTGAAGAGGTCCTTTACGTTCCTTGTTAGTTGTATTCCTAGGTATTTTATTCTCTTTGTGGCAATTGTGAATGGCAGTTCATTGTTGATTTGGCTCTCTTTAAGTCTGTTATTGGTGTATAGGAATGTATGGGATTTTTCACATTGATTTTGTATCCTGAGACTTTGCTGAAGTTGCTTATCAGATTCAGGAGATTTTGGGCTGAGACGATGGGGTCTTCTAGATATACAATCATGTCGTCTGCAAATAGAGACAATTTGACTTCCACAAGTTACCAATGACCTTCACAGAACTGGAAAAAACACCTTAAACTTCATATGGAACTAAAAGAGAGCCTGCATAGCCAAGTCAATTCTAAGCAAAAAGAACAAAGTGGGAAGCATCACACTACTGGACTTCAAACTATATTACAAGGCTACAGTAATCAAAACAGCATGGTACTGGTACCAAAACAGAGATATAGACCAATGAAACAGAACAGAGGCCTCGGAGGCAACACAACATATTACAACCATCTGATCTTTGACAAAACTGACAAAAACAAGCAATGGGGAAAGGATTCCCTGTTTAATAAATGGTGTTGGGAAAACTGGCTAGCCATGTGCAGAAAGCA